GAGTGATCCAATAAAAATAAAGCAGATTTCAGGTAAAAACACTCAGAGAAACCAAATCCTGCAAGGTTTGGATGGTGGGTCCAGGTGGGCGGGGCTTGGTGGCTGCTTTGTTGTGACATCACAAAGTTCCAGAAGTCCTGACGGCTGGTTTTAAGGCTCAGTTTCTGAATACAGGCTGTGTGCATTTCTCTGTGGACTGAGGCTTTGATACTTTCACAGTATTAATATAGAAGCTAGAGCTGATCTATAATCACACTACACATGGACACAGACCTTTACACTGGAGGAGCTTTAACATCAACACACAGAGACTTGATCGATTGTCTCATTTGCTCCTGACCCTGTGACATCATCGCTCTGTGGTAATGTAGATGAAAGTGCGAGTGTTTGGAGAAGTCTGGACCATGTTAGCGCGCTACGATAACACGGCTGTGACAGAGGTCAAACTAATACGAGCTTTGACGGATCGCTGGGCAAAAAAAAACCTTGTGAGAACCCGTCTGATGATGTCAGGAGGCGAGGGAAGAAAGGCAGGATGGGAAAATAACCAGAGAGCGACTGGATGTTTCCAGCGTCAGTCAGCACGCTCTCACTCTGCTCATCAGAGATGTCCATGTTTGGTCGACCGGCGGAGCCTGGCACAGGAAACAAAAAAAACATCCCAGCAGGCCTTTCTGCTCCCTCTCACCCCATAATGCACTGGGGCAGTTTTCACTCCCTCCTTCCTTCACTTCTTTTCCTTTATGTTTCAAATCTAAACTTCACCGTGTCTCTGGTTCCGCCACAAATCTACGACCCTCCAGTGGTTTAACGTCCAGATCTCACCTGCTAAACTCTGATGAACTCAGTGTTTATTTATGAGTTCTGTCCGGACACGTTTCACATATTAATATTATACGTATAAACTTCCCTTTAAGAGGCAGAAACCTGGAGCAGACTTCAAGGAAAATCCTAACTTCAGCGGTTCAGTGCCCCTGATCTGAGAGCAGAATCAGGATCAGTGAGATCTGAGTGAGTCTGAACCTGCGGCCGACAGATCTGTGAACCCTCCCGCTTCCCGTCATGTCTGCAGTGTACCACGGCGCTGTTTACACCAACGCCACATAACTGCCACTAATGCAGAACCGAGCTGCCGTGCCGGAGCTGAGATCCCTCTGAACAACTCTTGCAACATTCTTGCGTCACCTCCCTGGCTGAAACTGGATCTAGGCGTCGGGCTGATTCCTCCTGACCCCGCAGGAAAAATAAACATGTTGCCCACCAAACACGGTGGGTGGCACCTCCAAACATTTTAGCAGCTAATTAGATCTTCAGGCGAGAGCGGGGAGGGAGAACCTGACAGCTGGTCACCTGCCAACAGGTTCCACTCGCTCCGTGCCAAAACATCCACCAGCATTCATCCGCAGACCGTTGGTGATTTCCCATCACTCCCCGTCCCTTTGATTGTTTGATGGAGGAGGTGGAACTGCTTTCTCTGGCCGCAGGCTCGGTGTGGGAAAATAGTTTGTTAGCAGTGAGAGCCAGGCGACATGTGGAGGCAGGTCCAGGCAGAGGAGGGAGGGAGGGAGGGAGGCTTCGAACCAGCTCTCACTGTGGCCGCAAAAAAGTAAAACTTCCTGTGTTTCTGTCTGACGCTGCGTCCAAGAAGAAGATGCAGTTCAGGCTTCACTGCGTCTCAAAGCGCCAGGAACATTCAGGAGGTCGACAGCAAAACAACAAGACTTCAGATAATCACACTGGAACATCTGTATTTACATGTCGTTGTAACATTAAAGCTCCTCCAGTGTAAAGGTCTGTGTCCATGTGTAGTGTGATTATAGATCAGCTCTAGCTTCTATATTAATACTGTGAAAGTATCAAAGCCTCAGTCCACAGAGAAATGCACACAGCCTGTATTCAGAAACTGAGCCTTAAAACCAGCCGTCAGGACTTCTGGAACTTTGTGATGTCACAACAAAGCAGTCACCAAGCCCCGCCCACCTGGACCCACCATCCAAACCTTTACAGGATTTGGTTTCTCTGAGTGTTTTTACCTGAAATCTTCTATATTTTTATTGGATCACTCAGAAAACAGTCAGCCAATCAGAAGAGAGGCTCAGAGCCTCCTCTCTTCTGATTGGCTCACCGACCTGTTGTTACTAGAGCTCCAGAGAGAAGCCTGAGAGAGGAGATGAAAACAGATGTAACACTTCAAAATAAAACACACTTATTCGTAACTTTCGATATAGACGGTCATTTTTTTTTAAAGAGACAGATCCACTTCCTGCTTTGACGTCTGTTCTTACTCTAGCTTCATATGGTTTTCCTTTACTGTGAAGGCTTGTTACTGGTTTGTTTCCTGTCTGATGCTCTCAGATATTAACCTGGGGAGTTGTAGAATAAATCCAGAACCAGGTTTCAGTGTGATTGTTTGACGTGGCTCAGTCCAGATCAAAGATCCTACGAGCTACAGCAGAGCTAAATATAACACCTCTCCTCTCAGTGTACCATCCCTGTTCTGCGTTAATGTAGAACCACCATGTGTTTCCATCCTCGGTAGAACATCAGAACACAGGAACCGTCCCCTGTGTGATGCCTGTCACGGCTCATTACGCTCCAATAATCCTGTCAGCGGCTCCGAGCGCTCGATAACCAGACATCACAGCCGAGCTAACCGCTAATCTGTAAACGACACGGAGCGGCTGCGGTTTCCTGCAGCGCTGAGTGCTGGTAGGAGCGAGTTTATCTAGCTGCTGTGGATCTACGCCAACATCAGCAGGGTTTGATAAATGTGGACAGGATGATGTAAGACCACCTAGGCTGACGTTCTGCCACATTTAAACCGACGTTAAGTTCGATGCTGATTCTGAGAGTCGACCAGGAAACCGTCCGGTCATGTGACCCGGTTTTCAGACGCTCGCACTGAGTTTTCCCACAGTGGCGTGGATGGAGCTCAGATCTCTTCACACAGGACTCACACCTTCACTGGTTCCTAGATTCGGGGCAGATCTGCAGCTACAAACATTTCAACCTGAACCGAACAACAGGGAAGTTTCTCACTTTCATTTCAAGTCGACATTTACGCTCTGAATGATTCTCAGTGAGGAGGAAGCTCTGAGTTCAGCAGCGCAGACTCTCAGGCGGACAAACAGTCACCGGTTTACGAGTTGAAACAACAAGTTTTGAACCTGACTTGATCCCGGCGGCACGGTGGAGCAGTGGGTAGCACTGTCGCCTCGCAGCAGAAAGGTTGTGGGTTTGAACCTGCCGGCCTCTGTGTGTGGAGTCTGCATGTTCTCCTCTCCAGCTTCCTCCCACAGTCCAAAGTCAAGTGGATGATGACTCAGTGGATTTGAACTTGTGACTTGTTGGTTTTTCTTCTTTATTTCCAAGACCTGAAACTTGTGACTTAAAAAAGACTTTGTCCAACCCCTGGACATTACGCTGCTGTAGGGCCGGCTGCTGTCCCACACTCGGGCCACGGTTCCTGTTTAAAGACCTGGTGTTTTTCCTTTCTTTTAAAGTTCAATAAATGCGTCGTGTTCAATAATCTCAGTATTGATCAAAATAAACATGATTATCATTTTTGCCATAGTCGAGCAGCTCTATGTTCTTATTGGCTGACACAGATCTCAGCGTGATGAGCTTTTATCAGATGAATCAGACTTTATTTTAAACTAGAGCTGCACAAAAAATACAAAAATCATATTGTGATTAATTTGTCAGATATTGTCACGTCTTTGTATTTTATTTTCACAGTAGAAAACGATAGAAAACGAGGATGGTGTGATGTTTGTTGGGTCTTCAACATGATTGTTTATGTTCCTTTACGTCTGGAGAGTATGACGTGTAGACCGGGGCGTCGCTGTAGCAACACAACACTGATGGTGCTAACGATGCTAATGCTAACTACAATGTGACACGCACGACTCGGTGTCCTAAAGAACAGACGTCTGAAGTCTGAAAACTACAAGTCAACAACTACACATGGAGTCAGGTTGTGTTATTGAATGTCATGTCTACACACACACACACACACACACACACACACACACACACACACACATACACTTGTACGAGTGAGGAGCCTCTAGCTGTAACATTGGTTCTAACCTCAGACAACCCTCACTTTGTTTTCACTTCCCAAAAATGGCCTCACTTTCGAGGGTTGAGTAAGAACCTCACAAAGATAGGACACATACACACACACACACACACACTTCAGTCTGTGATTTCCCGCTCTTTATTTTTGGGGTTGACGTCGAGCTCTGAGTTCAGATGGTGTGAATGTTGGAGAGAGAGTGTCACTATAGAAAGAGAGAAAGAGCTCCAAGCCTCAAACCACAATCACACACACACACACACACACACACACACACACACACACACACACACACACACACACACACACCCTCTCTGTTATTTGATAGTGGTGAGAGCGACAGTGGCCTTTAGAGAGACAAATAGTTTCAAAGTGGAGCTGAAGAAATAATAAGATTTAAACACACACATACACACAGAGAAACACACACACAGAGAAACACACACACAGAGACACACACACACACACACACACACACACACACACACAATGTTGTAATGTTTCACAGTTTAAACTGTAAATCATTTTACAGTCGAACGTGAAGCAGTTTTATATTCAACATATTTATATTTGTCCTTGAATAATGAAGAAATACATTTTTGCTGATTTATTGATTATTGGTATTTATCTGATGGAATTTAATCTGGAAAACTCAAATCAAATCGTGATCCCATTTTCTTGTATTGAATATTGATAATTGATTGATTGAATTGGGAGATTGGTTCCGTTTTCCTTCAGTGTTTTTTTCATGTATAAGTGACGCCATGTCTCCTCCTCAAAAAGCCAATCAATCAATTTATTTATTTATTTAAATTTCATTCTATGACATGATTATAGTTTCATAATAGTCAATAAAAATGTCAATAAATAGTAAAATGTCCAATTTATGAAAACTACAAAAAAAGCAGCAAATGTTTGTTTTGTTTTTTTTACTTGATGAATTTCACATGATCAGTTCAAAATGTCTGTTAATTTAATATTGATTAATTCTGTGTGTGTGTGTGTGTGTGTGTGTGTGTGTGTGTGTGTGCAGAGGTCCTACACGTTGATTGTGGAGGCCTTGGACTTCAACAATGACTCGTCCTCGAGCGGTGAGTACCTTCATCATCATCATCATCATCATCATCATCACCACCTCTCTGCTCTGTTTAGTTTCCTACTGAAACAACATGACCTTTGACCTTAGAGCTGCTCAGCCACTAAAACTAAAATCCACAACGACGTCTCAGACTTTATAAAGAACCATGTGCATTACAACCGTGAACACCTGGGCTGTTGATGGGAAAGCTAACTTTATTTTATTTTATTAATTCATTAAATGTTTTTACCTAATTGACAAAATATTGAGTAAAGAATAGAAATGAAAATAAATAAAGAGCCTGAAATGACACAAAAACAGGCTTTACTACATCCAGTCGAGACTTATAGAAACAGACAATAAATAAAGAAAATACCAAAACCAAAAAAATGAAGAAAATGAAAACAAATATTAAATATTTACATTAATTATTTCTGTATCAGCTGCAATAAAGAACTTTTGTTTGAAAACCAGCAGGATTTAAATTCTGAAAGAAAAGGCAACAAACTGAATTTATCTTTGTGAATATTAAAATCATTAAATACAGAATTTCTGTTCATTACATAAAACAGTCAGTTCATGTGATTAAATGAGTCTGGAATTAAAACACACAGACGACATTAAATGACCATCAGTGAACTTCCTGTTTCAGTCCTCGCTGTTCTTCTTGTTTATAGCAGCAATAAAATAAAACGTCCAACCTCCTGAGGACGAGTTCACATGTCCACGACGAGACCCATTCAGAAAACTGGTCGTGTGTGTGTGTGTGTGTTTTCACCCGGCGCTCAGCGAGGCGGTCAGACCGAGAGTGTTGGCTCGGTGCTGTATTTGGCGTCCCACAGGGAACCATTATAGGCCCGGTGTGAAGTCGGCTGACCCCACCCCCACCCTCCCACCCCTGCCTAGGTGGGTTTCAGCGCAGGGAGCGAGGATGAGGCGGGGGAGGGGGTGAGGGAGAAGCTGCTGTGCTGGGTCTCTGTGTGAGATTCTGAGGGTTCGTTCAGACAAACTGACGAAGTGCTGATGAGCCAAACGAGGACAGAACAAATATTGACACACACACACACACCCCCCCCCCTCCTCTTTTAGCATCAAAAAGCTAAGTGACCCCAACACGTGGCCTGTGATGGACACCTGCAGCGTTCTGTTACTGTGGTTCAGCTCAGGTGACTGAAGAGGGGCAGCAAATGTCACAAATGTCCCTGACTGACAGACCAACAGACCGACCTTGTTACCCGGCTGCTCTGGAACTGCAGAGAAGAGGAGGAGTGCTTCCAATACACTGAGCCTCGCCTCCATTACAGCAAATAAACTACTTTGAATCCATGTATCATTATTACTAAAGGAGGCAGAGGAAGAACTAAACATAAGACACAGAGCAGAGGGAGAGAGAGAGAGAGAAAGAGAGACAATACTGTTACTGCAGCAATAAAAGCCCCGTTAAGACACAAAGGATTCTGTCCACTGAAACACTAGAGGGTTTTTAATTTAATTTAATGTGATAATAGATTTAATGTTGAGACAAAGCTGCCTTTGCTTTTGTAATGAGTTCAATAAATCTACATCTAAAACTTCCTTCAGTGGGACAAGAAGTTGACCTGTGATCCACCTCTGCTACCGTCTGTAATAAAGCCTGAAATCAATAAGTCCGATCAGCTCGATGTTCCACATTAGAAATCTCATCAAGTTTGATATATTAGCTTTGTTTACTGATCGATCAATAAGGCAACACAACGGGCCGAGCTGAAGTTCAGTGTGAACTACTCCGACACTGTAATGTGCTAATAGATGAATTCAAAGGATTTTATATTCATAAAATAAAAGTGCAAGTAAGAGGTAAAGACTCCAGATGTTGTGGACATTATAAAGAGTACAGATGTTTCTGTCAGGCAGGTGTTTCCTCCACAGCTCCACAGTTTCATCAATGAAGTGCCATCTTTGGATATTTGCTCAAACATCCTGGACGGAGCAAATCCAGCCTTTTTTTTCTGAGGTTAACTATTTTTCAGATCTGCTGCCTCAGTGTCACTTTCAGCAGCTTTTATTTTATTCTCCATCGTGATGTGAAGTGTCACAGTTTGCTTCCAGCCCGGCGCCGTCACCTGCTCCGAGGTCGAGCGTTTTCAGCTCTTTCAGCCGGTCAAACAAGACGCCGTCACCTCAGCCCGACCACACTTTCCACCCCGCCGGTGAAATACCACAGAGCAGCTCAGCATTTTCAAACTGTGGAATATTCCAGCTGCCCCCCCTGACCGTCGAGTTAAAGTCCCGTTTAGAGCTTTAATTATTCGTCAGTTAATCATGACTTATTCACTGGTTGCAGCCAGTTCTTTCAAAGTAAAAGCCCTCCAGTCATTCCTCTTTGCTGCGTGCCTCTGTGGTCCCTCTAACTCCAGACGACGACCACGTCACTGTGCGTCATCCTGGACTCTGAGCTCTGCTTTGATAAACACGTCACCTCTGTTGATAGAAATAATTTCTACCAGTAAAGAAACAGTCCCAAACTTTAACTTCAACAAACCTCTCTTCACTGGCTCCAGGACGTCTCAGATCTGAAAGCTCGTCTCTTCCGTCCGTCCCATGATTACGACCGGAACTAAAAGGCGTCAGAGCTTCTGCAGTTTTTTAAATCTCGGCTAAAGACACATTTTTACTCACTGACCTTTCAGTCCGTCCTCATGTTCAGAGTTCTCTTCATTCCATCCTTGTTGTTTCTGGTTTTTGTGTTTTTGTCTGTTCACATCTTTACCATCAGACTGCCCTTATACAGGATTTATAATGAGGTTATTCATTCAGTTGTTAACACTCATAAACAAGTTGACTGAACGTCCCTCCACCTCAGTGCTGATCTCCACCGTGTTGTGTTCACAGGCGGCGGCGGCGGCGGTGGTGGCGGCGGCGCCCTGATCGAGAAGGCCGTCCACTCGGGGATGATCAACCCGAGCCGCCAGTGGCAGAGCCTGAAGCACAACGGCCCCGTGGCTCAGTTCCACTTCCAGGTCCGCCTCAGCTGCGACGAGCACTACTACGGCTTCGGCTGCAACAAGTTCTGCCGCCCGCGGGACGACTTCTTCGGCCACTACGAGTGCGACCACAACGGCAACAAGACGTGCCTGGAGGGCTGGTCGGGTCCGGACTGCAACACCGGTGAGTCTCACTCTCTTCTCTCTGTTAAAGAAACGTTCTGCAGTTTTTTATATCGTGTCTCTGCCTTTTATTCTGACGATCCACGTCCGCAGACTTCCTGCTGAGATGAACCGTCACAGTTTAGTCTTTCACTGTTGATGTCAGAGTGAATTTATTGTAGTGTGGTAATACACAATCCTCCTTCCTCTGGTGCTTTCAAATGCCTGTGGGAAACTTCAAACAGCCGCGACCGCAGAGTCGGCCGCTGACAGAGACAAAGAAATCCATATGAATGTGTCGATGTTTTCTCCTTGTTCCTCTGTGAGCAGCGATCTGCAGACAGGGCTGCAGCACGGAGCACGGATCCTGTAAAGTCCCTGGAGAATGCAAGTGAGAACCCACGTCCATTTATTTTGCTTGTACTGGTTTGGGGTAGTTAGTCAGAGAAGCCTGGAGGGAAGCAGCTACACTGACAAGATGAACCAAATATTCATGGGTTCGTTATCAGTATTTACTGTTTTCTTTAAAAAGCTTTAGTTCTCTGTGTATTTTCCTTTTTTGTTTTCTTTTAGATTAGATCACATGTTCCCAGCGTCACAGCAGCGAAGTGACAGTAACTAATACCAGAAAGATAAATAATAGATATGATATAATATGCAGGATTTGATATTTACACAGATGTACAAAGTAAGATGTTGTGTGTGTTGCTCCTGACAGTACGAGTAACCTCTGATGTGTTGGTTGTTTCACTTTAAATAATATATAAACATATAAACTGAAATGATACTGACTCTAAAGTTCAGACTGATGGCAGTACTGACTGTGTGTGTGTGTGTGTGTGTGTGTGTGTCAGGTGTCTGTACGGCTGGCAGGGGGAGTACTGTGATCAGTGTATCCCTCATCCTGGCTGCGTTCATGGCAGCTGTGTGGAGCCCTGGCAGTGTCTCTGTGACACCAACTATGGAGGGCAGCTGTGTGACAAAGGTAAACACACACACACACACACACACACACACACACACACACTCTACATTTTCAGCAGCAACATTTCACCCTCATCACATTACAAGAACCAGGGCAGTGATTGGTCAAATGTAAAAGCTGCAAGTTGAATTCAGAGTAAATCTGTTCATTACAGATGATGAATATTAATGAGCTGCCTTAATGATTAATATTAATTATTACCGTCTCGTTATCTGTGTCGCCGCGTGTTTTCGTCCTCAGATCTGAACACGTGCGGGACGCGGCAGCCATGTTTGAACAGAGGAACCTGCAGCAACACGGGACCAGACAAATACCACTGCTCCTGCCCCGACGGCTTCTCTGGAGTCAACTGTCAGAGAGGTGAGGGGGGCGGGGTCGACGCTTCGTTTCCCATGGCAATATCCGTGCTATAGTCAGTATCCCCAGAGGATAAACCATTCATAATCTGGACATTTCCTCTGGTGCCGTTATGAGGAAAAATATTCCACCTCTGCATAAGAAATAAAATAAGAATAAAGACTTAGACTTTCATGAAATAGTCTGATCCCATTCCTGCTCCCCAGAGGTTGAACCATTACAGCCACCGTGTTTAATGTCCATTAGAAACCGTAGATGCTCCTTCCAACATCTGTTCCCGCCTCGTAATCATCCTGTTTAGACATTTTCTTAGTATCAAATATAATCCAGGTGATTGGTGCTTGTTTCCATGGTTACATTGCTAACAAAAATAGCTCGTAGCTAATTCAGCAAGATTGACCCACTGATTGTAACCACTGAGCCTCGTCTCCACAGCGGACCACGCCTGTCTGTCCAACCCCTGTTTGAACGCAGGCAGCTGTGTGGAGACCAGTCAGGGTTTCGAGTGTCGCTGCGCCCCCGGCTGGACCGGACCCTTCTGCTCCATCAGTAAGATCCATCTCCACTCCTTCAGCTTTTATTTGATCCTCGACTGCTGGACTGAACTGTATGTGTGTCTCAGATGTGGACGAGTGCCTGGTGAACCCCTGCAGTCATGGAGGAACCTGCCAGGACCTGGTTAATGGTTTCAAGTGCACCTGTCCTCCTCAGTGGACCGGAAAGACCTGCCTCATCGGTGAGTCCTCCTTCAGTCCACAGAACCAGAACTTTTTCATTTCAGAAAAGGTTTGAGAGGCTGCTCAGGAAACTTTTTATTTAAGTTATGATTCTTCCGTTGTGGAGATTTGCCATCGTTTGATGTGGATCTCGTTGTTCATAAACCTCCACCTCGGGCGTTGTCAGTCTGGCACGCCGGAGCTCCGTCCTCCGCCTCCTTCCTTCTGGGACTCCGGAGGTTTTTGTTCCTAATCTCCAGGATGATCTCCGGAGGGATGGTTATGGTTTGGGGGCTCAGCTTCCGAGATCGCCCCACCACAGCGCTAATCCACCGCCGTCCACAAACTACCAACCACTCAACCTTTAACTGTGGCTGGTTAGTTTGGTCTGCCAGCTCTCATTGTGGAGCCTGTTTTCCACTGCTGAATGAGTCTGGACACATCCACCGCTCTCAGATGTTACTAATGCTCCTGACTGAAAGCCAGACTCAGAATAGCAACTGAGGACTCCAAATCAACCCATTAACACTGTTTACATTTCACTATTCCAGAGACTCAGGAATGACATTTGTTCCATCTGTTGTCAGCGTGCTGTGACTCCTGACCTTTGACAGCTGTGTCCCTGGTTGTTCATTGACTTTGGTTAAATGGTGAAAACTAACGAAGCATCCTTAAGGCAACACTATATAACTGGAAAGGAGCCACCGTGAACACAAGGCATCTGCAGGATGATGCTAAATGCTAAAATGTAGCAGAACAAAATCATAAAGTCAACAAACGGATTCAGTATCTATCTACAGTTAGCTAACAAGCTAACTTAGACCAGACCAAGTAAGACTTTAGCAGCAAAAACTCTTCATTATCACTCTGAATTTAATTTGAAATCTATCTTTTCAAGGTTGTGGTTAGGTGTGGCACTGCTTTGAGCTAAACGGTAGCATGGCAATATGCTAACAATGACCAGGTTTAGCAGGTATATTAATTAACATGTTCACCATCCTAGTCTAGCATATTAGCATGATAACATTTATTAATTAGCACAAAAAATGTACAGCTAAGGTTGAAATATCTGTATATTAATATCATCTTTGGCTACAAAATCTTTCAAACAGAGTCCATGCTAACCGCTGTCAGTGAATCGTAGCGATGTAGCATGTGTTAGCCTTAAATCTTCTGACATTATTATTACACCCAGATCTTTTCCCTCTGTTGGTTTAAAGAAACCAGCTGTGTGTCGTTTTCTTCCTTTAATCAACCATCAAGATGGAGGAGTGTAAGGCAGTACCAGCAGGCAGCGCTCCGTCTCTCTCCTGCTGTCTGCAGGGCGCTCTGCTTTCTCTCTAATTTGTTTATCGTTGTGTTTCAGATGCCAACGAGTGTGACGACAACCCCTGCATCAACGCCAACTCCTGCCGAAATCTGATTGGAGGATACTTCTGCGAGTGCCTCCCCGGCTGGACGGGCCAGAACTGCGACACCAGTGAGTAAGACGCTCCAACGCCACAATAATCTGTATGAGCGAGGAGGAGATGGGAGGAGGCAGCTGCCAGAACATTCAGCCCACAGCAATAACAATTATCTTTATTTGTATATGAAACGTTTACAAAAGGCTTTTGTTTTAAACTTAGTTTGAGGAATTTTTTGTTCCAAAACAAAAAAATACAATGGAAAGAGAGTTTTGAAATCCGTGAACGTTCAGCAGCAGCATGTTAGTGAGGACAAGACTGGAAGAGATGACGATGATTCTCACATACATCCCTAGGTTCTTCCCTCAGATGTTGTTTAATGTGTTAAATATGGTCCATCAATCGGTTTTGGTGTTTCAACTTTTTCATCAAATACTCTGGATGTTGGTTTAAAATGACTCGTATCACATACAGCTACAGCTACTGGGTCCAGGTCCAGATTTACAAGTTCAACACAGCCTCAGCTTTTACTTTAACATTTCTTTTCTGTGTTTGTGCAGTTAAATAATTTAATAAAGCTTTTTTCAACAAGCTTTAAAAAACCTTTAACTTTAACTTCTGACCAGAACAAGAGACGATCATTACTGTCGTCGTTTTTGATACAGACAGAAACAGGTTTGTTAAAGGGAAATCGTCCCTCCATCTCTGTCGTTTCACTTATAGTTGAACTTTAAAGCTCCATATTTCGGGCTTGGTGACTGCTTCGTTGTGACATCACAAAGTTCCAGAAGTCCTGACGGCTGGTTTTAAGGCTCAGTTTCTGAATACAGGCTGTGTGCATTTCTCTGTGGACTGAGGCTTTGATACTTTCACAGTATTAATATAGAAGCTAGACCTGATCTATAATCACACTACACATGGACACAGACCTTTACACTGGAGGAGCTTTAAGTGTTTTACATCCCTGTTGTTTCCACAGCAGCTTGAACGTTTCCTCTAAGATAAAGAAGAGAAACTTCCAGAACAATCGTGTTTGAAATCTTTTCAAAAACAAGCTGACATGAAACTTGTTGTGGATTGTTTCTTCAGATATCAACGACTGTCGCGGCCAGTGTCAGAATGGAGCTACATGCAAGGTGAGGAGCCTTTTGTTTTCTCTGTGCAACACACACACACACACACACACACACACACTTTCCTCTTCAACACAGCAACAAACGGCAAACACTGAGCCATGTAGAACAGAGGCGTAACTGTGCGTGTGTGTGTATGTGCGTGTGTGTGTGTGTGTGTGTGTGTGTGTGTGTGTGTGTGTGTGTGGCCTCCCATGACAACAGCAGATCAGATTTCTCCAAACTGTCTCATTTCCCAACAGCAGATAAACAGTCTGTCCTCGTTCTTTTCCACTGGAGATTATTTTTTCTGCCTTTCTTCTTCTCACAATGGTTTCTTGTTTAAGGATTCGAGTCAGATCACGTTACATCGGCAGCAGTTGACGTGATCATGCACAGTGTACACAGTGTGATTTATAGTATTTATGGGTCAGTGTCATCACAAAACATTAACAAAATCAGAGTGAAGGTAATTTGAACAACGTCTCCTCAGAGGCCAAAACAATATCTCAGTTTCAAACCATAATAACGTGGCTATAAATGTCTGCAAATGGTGCGTTCAAGACGACGGTAAATTGGAAACTTCTGTTCACATGATCAACTGTGAAAACAATATGGACACCTGCAGTGACATCTTCACACTTTGTTGTTGTCTTTACAATGAACACGGAAAGTGTCTGAGGTGAATGTACTTCTGTTTAAGTTCTTAGGTAAAGAATGATAAAGATAATTCTAATAAGTTACAGGACGATGAAATGAAACAAAAACAATAGAATAAAGAACTGGAAGTTTTTTCTGACAAATACAAAATAGTTGAACATAAATAGCAAAGAGAACAATAATAAAAACAATCTGTGTAAAAACAAACACAACATGAATCCTGTAAATGTAAATATATCACATACAGTAGTAAATAACATGTTAAATGTAATTAAATAGTGTTTGTAATATTACCATCCCTACTAGTGATGATGCCATGATTGTAGTTGTTATGACGTCAAATCCTGCCTTGAAATAATTTTTTCTGAGTCTGACCTTGTAATTTCCAACTTTCCGACGTGTCGCGAACGCAGCATTAGTTTGGCTTAAAAGCTAACGTCAGTTTCTGCCTGGTTGTTTAAAATCACTGTGACGCTGAAAAGATACAAATAAATCAGTTGGACTCGAACACACAAGCAAACAGACATTACAGAGTAATGCTTTAATAAACTGTGACACTGTTAGCGTATCCGCTACAACTCAAATTTGGCTAATTAGCTTTGCGCTAACTAGACTTCTCAATATAGCGCTTCATTAAGCTGCTTGACGTTGACACATTTTTCTATATTTAATATTAAATGCTTCCTTGTGAGGAGAGATTTCTGTCAATCAAATGTTTGTAGTGTTGCACAGTTAGCCTGTTAGCTACATTAGCGCTATCAGGTTTGTTGACCATCAGTCCCGTCCGTCCAGCAAATCTAAAAACTGATACGCGATTCAGAAATTTAACAAATGACGACAGCTTTTTTATTTTTTAAATCTGTTTATTGATAATAAAGTAAAATAAAATATAAATACTTCAAGTAAACAAGAACAATATATTTTACAATTTAAAAAAGGAAAAAAGAAAAAGAAAAAAATAGTGCATTAAGATGAAGAGACTGTCGTGGTTCTCAGGGTTCATCAGAGCGGGACATTTAGACAGTAACAGGTGATCACAGTAGTAACTCTCTGTCCGTGTCCGTCCTTCAGGACCTGGTCAACAGTTATAAGTGCGTGTGCTCGCCGGGTTTCGGCGGCGAACACTGCGACAAAGACGTGGACGAGTGCGCCAGCGGGCCGTGTCTCAACGGCGGCCGTTGCCATGATGAAGTGAACGGCTTCCACTGCCTGTGTCCACCCGGTTTCTCTGGAAGTCGCTGTCAGGTGAGCTGTTGCAAAGCCACGCCCACTTCTGTAACCTGGGAGGTTTCATTTTTGGATATAAACCATATTAACAAACAAACATTTACCAGGATCCAGCAGCAGTTGGTTTTCCTAACGTCTGTTGTGATTTAACCTGCTGCTCATAAGAGTTTATTGAATTAAATAATAATATTAATTAGATTATTAGAAAATATTAATTTCCAAATCTTAAAAAGTTTGAGAATCACACAAAAAGGAATGAATGAAGGAAACGTACACCTCCACTTAATGTTGAAATGTTTGAATTTCAATAGATAAACCAGATTAATTATAATGTCTGTTGATGCAGCGATGGTGGGAGGTAACATCATCACACAGAATCAAACGGCTGTTTATCTTCTCTTTCCCGCCTCATGTTCAGAGATAATCGCTGTAACTTTACACCACGTCTTTGTCTGAACGGTTCACAACTCAAACCTCAACCTGAAAGAAACAGAGAGTTAAAGATGTTTACAGTCATACTGATGGATTTATTAACTGTTTAAAAGATAATCAATATTGTTATCATCATTTAAAATCTTGTGTGTGTTGATGTGTACCCCACAGCCTGACATCATCCTCTCAAAGGTGTGTTGGCGACCTGTATGTGGTTACCATGGAGACGTGTATTGTGCAGGTGTCATAGAAACAGTGCTGAAGCTGAGCTGTTCCGTCTCTCTACAGTTGGATATCGATTACTGCCTCCAAAGTCCGTGTCAAAATGGCGGCCATTGTTTCAACCTGGCGTCCGACTACGTCTGTAAATGTCCCGAGGACTACGACGGCAGGAACTGCTCGCGCCTGAAGGACCACTGCCGCACCACGCCCTGCAAAGGTTCACATTCAGTCTACGTTCAGTTATTCATCGCTGTCCCGTTTTTCATACACACTTAGCATAAACCTTAGCATAGCGATACGTTTCAGATAATAAATAATGATGAGCAACAAAAGCTAACGTCAGTCTTCACACAAGTAAAAGTGGCTTTTCTAGGCTTTGGTTTTCGTACATATTAAACTGGTTCCAGCCTTGATGCTAAGCTAAGCTAACAGGCAGGTGTCAAACTGGTACAAAGGACCCCAGTTGTTTTTTTCCTTCTAAATGTTGCACAAAAAAAATAATTTAAAGGAAATTGGCAAAAGAAAATGTAAATTAATGACCATTCCCATGTAGATGAAAAACGTTCCTTCCTCTGTCCGCTCTTCCTCCTCCTCCTCCTCTTCCCCAGTGATTGACAGCTGCACAGTGGCAGTGGCGTCCAATAGCACGCCGGGCGGGGTGCGTTTGATTTCGTCCAACGTTTGCGGCCCCCACGGGCGGTGTCGGAGTCACGCCGGCGGTCAGTTCAGCTGCGAGTGTGAGGAGGGATTCACCGGGACCTACTGCCATGAGAGTGAGTGCATGAGGCTTTAAATAATTATTATGTACAATTATATTTTTATTTTAATATTATTTCCTTCCTTTTCTCTCTGTGTCTCTCAGACATAAACGACTGTGAGAGCGCCCCCTGTCTAAACGGAGGGACCTGTATTGATAAAATCAGTCAGTATCAGTGTATCTGTGCTGAAGGCTGGGACGGCCCCACCTGCCAGAACAGTGAGTCCTCTTCTTCCTCCTCGCTTCTCTTCCTCAGCAGCAGCAGCAGTAACGGTGTTACAGCGGCCATGTTGGAGGTGTTGTTGACGTGGTTTTGTCTCGTTGTGGCTCAGACATCGACGACTGCAGCTCTGCTCCCTGTCAGAACCGAGGCGTCTGTCGAGACCTGGTCAGTGATTTCTACTGTGAGTGTAACAACGGCTGGAAGGGAAAGACCTGCCACTCCAGTAAGTCCCGTGTGTGTGTGTGTGTGTGTGTGTGTGTGTGTGTGTGTGTGTGTGTGTGTGTGTAAAACTTTGTTTTTTTAATGTGTCACATTTCTGCATAATTTTCTTTCTGGCCTTTGACCCTGTTTTCATTCCCCCAAAAAATTCAATTATCATCATGATTTATAAAATACAAAATGTATTACATTTGGAAAAGTTGTGTATGACCTGACTGTTATTTATATAATATACATTTTTAACCAGTTTTATGTATTTTTAAAATCAAAGTTATATTTAATAAATGTTACCATTAAGTGTTACAAGTGTTTTACACATGACATAAAACCATTAAGACAAAATAGAAAAGAAAAAGAACAAAGTGCAGGATATGAATAAACTGTCCATTAAAGGCAGCGAGAAACAGAAAAGTTTTAAGCCCCAAAAAAGAACCGAGATTAAGGCTAACACTGCGCGCTAACATTAGCATGTTAAGCAAGTTGCATTGCAGCCTCTTATGCTATGTTGTGTTATGTGCTTTTTATGACTTGCCCTTTGTCTTATTGAACTGATTCAGCGGTTGAGCTTTAGTGTTGTTTTGAAATAATAAATGTATGTGTCATAAGTTAGCATTTTCTTTAAATGTGAGCGTTGAGACGGGTTTTATTTTGATATAATTATTGGCATTGGCATATTGACGTAGAGTAAGCATTCTGACATGCTAAACATTAGCGAATTACAAGTTAGCTTATTACAGTGATCATGCATACTATTTTCATTTTAACATGCCAATTGTTGGCGGTGTTTATGCTCTATTGATCGTGCTAATCAGCTCATCAATTAAAAACAAAGCACATTTGAAAACATTCTGTATTAGAAGTGACAGTAAAACACTATACGACTTATGTTCTATAGTGTTTGTTTTGCAGGAGAGGATCTCTATGAAACTAAAGCTCTGAACTTTTGCAAAACCTCCAGAGAGAGACTTAGTTTGAGACGCAGTGATTTCACTTTACATTTGACCTGGTTTTTCATTTGTTGGATTCATTTTATTCTGACTTGCTCAGCTGTTTTTACTTCCAGGAGAGAGTCAGTGTGACGAGGAGACCTGTAACAACGGAGGAACCTGCTACGATGAAGGAGACGCCTTCAAATGTGTGTGCGCTGCAGGCTGGGAGGGGGCCACCTGTAACATCGGTCAGTCTCACAACACGTGTGTGTTTGTTTAAAGTGTTTCCATGGTAACCGCGGCGCTGACAGTCGCGTTTGTCTCTCCAGCGAAGAACAGCAGCTGTCTGCCGAGTCCCTGCGAGAACGGAGGAACCTGCGTGGTCGACGGAGACTCGTTCAGCTGCGTCTGTAAGGAGGGCTGGGAGGGCGCCACCTGCAGCCACAGTGAGTCACTGCACACCACGACACTGACCTACCACCAACATGCACCATAGTTCAACTTGTAGAGATGTAGTCGATTAATCGATGAGTCGATTGACAAATAATCTGCAACTATTTTGGTCTTTTTTTCTGATGTCAGTTTCTTAAACATGAACATTTTCAAATTCCATTTGTCCTCTGTGATAGTAAACATAATATCTTTGGGTTCGGAGCTTTAAGTGAAGACGTCAGCCGGGCTTTGAAGGATATTTTTCACAATTTTCTGACATTGACCAAATGACTAATCTATTAATCAAGAAAATAATTGTCAATTTAATCAGAGATAAAAAAAAAAAATAGCCATTAGCTGTGTAAGTGTCTGTCTGAAGATATTACATTGAAGAGACACACAACTCTCAGTTCACTTGTCACAGTTACAGCCATAACTATGCAGCTATACAGTTTTTGAGGCATGATAAAATAAAGAAAAGCTTTTTCCACATTGTTCCTGCTTCTGTTGCTCCGCTGTCTTTACAATTTAAAGCCAAATATGGTTTAAAAAACTGTATTCATGATTGAAATCCCTCTTCTTTAACAGAGCATGTAGCATGCTAACACTGCCAGCAGTTAGCATTTTGAAATTTAAACTGTATACATGACAGTGGAAGTTATAAGCTAACTTTTAGTATGCTAATTAGCATGTCAGAATGCTTACATCATCACTGTGCAAATACTCACAACTGTCACACTTGCTAATATGTTCTCAGTTAAAAAAAAAAAATGTTAACATATGACATGTGTTTCCTGACAACGTGTAGTTTTAGTGACTTGAGGCTCCGTTAACAAACATCTGGATTCATCTTCTGGGGACCGTGAATGGCTGTTCTGAAATGTAATAGAGTTGGACTAAAAGAGACACAGTGAGCGCAAGCTAACAACGTTTTCTTTATTTTCCAGATGCCAACGACTGCAGTCCTCATCCCTGGTGAGTTTAACTGAATTAGACATTTGTGCTTTGGACGGACACGGACACACACACACACACACACACACACACACACACACACACACACACACACACACACACACACACACACACACACACAGTTATATTTATCATTACTGTTTTTAACTGAATAAAATCCAGTATTTTTGACATCAGACATTTGGTTTGAAGCTGTAGGTGTTAGAAATCCCCGCAGCAGCACATCATCCATCACTTCACGTCAAAACACGAAGCAGTAACATTTGGAGTTGTGATTATTTTTTGTGATAAACCTTCACATGTCGCATTAAATTCTCCTTTTTTGGCCTCCTCCTCCTCCTCGTTTGTCCTTTCAACAAATCAAATCTGGAACAAAACAGGAACAAAACAACAAAGTCTCTGCCAGTTTCGCTTTTATCTGCTCAGCTCCCACTCTTCTCTCCAAACCGCAGAGTCAGAAACTGCTCATATCTTTAAAAAACACCGATCAGGAGAGAAAAAAAAAAAAAAAAAATGTTTTTCCGTCTATAATTAAGATTAGGGTTAGAATGAGGGTTCCAGCTCAGTTAGGTCAGGCTTCTTGATTTATAGCTACGGTGGGAAATTATGGTGAATTCAAACCATTTTTCCTCCAGTGGATAAAATTCTGTTGTTTTGCCTCTTTTTTTGTTCCAGTAGTGAAAGTCTTGTTGTTACTCGGGAGTGTAGACTGTACATGTCAGTGACCGTCTCTGTCCTCCTGCAGCTATAACAGTGGGACCTGTGTCGATGGAAACAACTGGTATCGCTGTGAATGTGCTCCGGGATTCGCCGGTCCAGACTGCAGGATCAGTGAGTGTTGACCTCTGACCGCTTAACATGTATCCCTCCATGTATCCCTCCGCCTACTTTACTGTCTCTTCTCTCACTGGCTTTCAGTTCCTGCCTCAGTGCCTTTGAGCCAGACTCTCTTCCAAACCTCAGCAGCTTTCAGAGCCGATCACATCTCTGACACTCAGTAAAATCCTCTTGTTCTCCAGAGTCTGTTCCATCTGTGTCCAGTACAGGACGTGTTTAGCCTAGCTTAGCACAAAGACTGGAAGCAGGGGGAAACTGCTAGCCTTGCTCCATAAAAAGAAAACAAAATCCACCTTAACAACTCAATCAGAAAAATAATCTGCAGTTATTTTAATTAATTGTTGAAGACATGTTTCAAGCAAAAATAATAAATTAGTTAAATTCTCTGGCTTCTTCAAATTAGATTTTTTTTCAATACTTTGTTTATTGGCTTTTGTTCATTTTAAATTTAGAGTAAAGCAGAACATTCACCCCTCCCCCACCCCCCCAAAAAACTACTGTCTAAATAAAACTTAATAAACAAACTTTAAATATTGAGTTATGCGTATAGGTTGAGATGATTATGGCCGAGAATCAAAATAATTTGATTAATATGCACATGTAAAAATATATAAACAAAAATAAAGTATAATAGTAAAATAAAGTAAATAAAATAATAAATTACATACAAGGTAATATACCTATATATACACAAGTCAGAAATCAACAACAACAAGCGTATCATTCGGTTATCATCCTCAGATGTGATTTTTAAATGCGTTTTTCTTCGTCTCACACGATTGTAAACCGAATATCTTTGGGTTTTGGACTCTTGGTCTCAAAGGAAATGCTACTCGAAGACAGACCTCGGGTTCTAGAAACTTGCGAAGGATATTTTTATCAATTTCCTGGCATTTTAAAGTCTAAACAGTTGATCATTTAATCTAAAAAATACTCAAGTTAATTCATGATGGAAAGACTTATTTGCAGCCCTGCTGTCGTACAGATTCCTCTCTGCCTGACTGGTTTCTCAGCCTCCACCTTCTCTTTGTTACTAACGAGGGACAGATTTATTTACAGTGGATGTTCTGAGAACACAGTTGAAAACAATTACTTAAATAATTTCTCTTTCAGACATCAATGAGTGCCAGTCGTCACCCTGCGCCTTCGGCTCCACCTGCGTGGATGAAATTAACGGTTACCGCTGCATCTGTTCCCCGGGAAGAACTGGCCCCCGCTGCCAAGAAGGTAACAGCTCCTCTCTGCTGTCAGACACTTTGTCCGACTTATATATATTGTTGTGACTGTGACAACAACTATGAGACATATTTTACACTTTCTCCTGTGTATGGTCCAAGATATTTTAGAGAATAAAAGAAAACGCTTTCCGCTGACTTAAAGTACCGAGTCTTTCATAGAACTGTAGTGGCGTCATTGGGATGATGCTGGTTTTGTGCTGCAGTGTCGGGGAGGCCGTGTGTGGTCGGAGGGCTGGTGGCTCTGGACGGAAGCAGGTGGGACAAAGACTGCAACAGCTGCCGCTGTCACAACGGGAGAGTCACCTGCACAAAGGTAGGACTGAGGTTTTGACTGTGTGCAATCACATTAACGTTTATGCTGTTGCACATTCAGACATTTTCCAGTTCCACTTGTTCCATGTGCAGAAAGCTTCATAAGCACATTGAAAAATAACATTTCTAGAAACCTTTTTCTGTCTTGTAGCTAGTCACAGATATATCGTATTGTTGTGTATGTTGACCAGTAAGAAACAAAAATAGCAGCAGGCAAGGGCGTAGGTTTGTATATGGACAGTAGGGACATGTCCCCACCAATATTTTGGGCGGACGAAATCATATTAGATCATTCCAGTGTTTCCTCCAAGAGGCTACATCTCCAAGACTGTGGATTTAGGCATGCTAACATTTGATTGGCTGAAAAGGCGGGGGCTATCTGAAGGTTCACATCATGAGAGAATATCATAGTGGTACCTGACGTCACCAGAAAAATGTCAACTGATGTTATTCAACCATGTTAGCTAGTGTTAACTAGCAAGCTAACCCTGGCTTCTGTCATCTGTAGGCTAGCAGTCAGGATGCTAGCAGGAGTAAAGATAAAATGGTGAATATATCAAAGTATGAGTTTCATTTCTGTCGAGAAATCCCATGAAAATGTCGCCACGACGTTTTTTATGCCATACTATAATTTATTTAAGGGGCAGCACGGTGGTTAGAACTACTGCCTCCACAGCGAAGGGGTTCCGGGTTGGAGCCCCGGGCTTTTTATACCGTCCTAAGCAAAGAGAACACAAGATGATCTAACTTCCTCTGACTTTCGTCTCTGACAGCTTTGGTGTGGACCAAAACCCTGCAGCCTCCACAGTAAGACTCACGGCTCCGAGTGTCTGGCCGGTCAGACCTGCGTCGCCGTCCAGGACGAGCGCTGCTTCGTCAAGCCCTGCCCCAGCCAGGGGGAGTGCTGGAGCCCCGGCCACCGGGCCCCGCCCACAGCCAGGTGTCACCCAGAGAGCAGGTGCGCCAACGTCACCTTCACCTTCAACAAAGACATCATGGCGAAGGTCAGTCTCGGTTTCCTTCGTCTGCTTGCACCTTCTGAATTTCTCAGTTTCCAGAGTATTTGAAACCTTCATGCTGTAGCTGATGTTTTCCCTCTGGGCTGCGACAGGGCGTGACGGTGGAGCAGGTTTGTCGAGAGCTCAGGACCCTCTATGTTGTCAAGAACCTGTCCTCCGATTCCTCCGTCTCCTTGACCTGCGAGCTGTCGCTCAGCACCAACAACGAGATCCACGTCGCTATCGTAAGTCCCACCTCCGGAAACGTGGTCCAGAAACAACACTCTGCGGATATGATCTAGTTGACAGGTCGATTTCCAGTCGACTTCCAGTACGTCACATTAAACATTTACTGAAAGTCCTGAATTTCAAAATGGAGAAGAATCAAGAATTTTGAGGTTTTTAAAAAAAGAAGTGAGAAGAGATAAGAGCAGTGACGGGGTACAAAGCCCCCGCTGACATAACCAGTCAGCTTGAGGTGAAGTTTTGAAAGGTTAACAAATAGTCTGAAACCACTGTTGCTGCAGCCAGAAGAAGAAAACACGTCCTGTTCTCCAGACGAAACACAGAGCGTTTATTTAGACTGAACTGTCAGAGATAGACAGACCGACTCATAACGCTGTTTCCCTGCCGAATGTTTCAGTCGACGGAGAACCAGAGAGGGGGTTTGACATTCGTCAAGGAGATCACAGACCGGATCATGGATCTGGTCAGCAAGAGGAGCGCCAACAGCTCCATCATCAGCGCCATCGCTGAGGTTCGAATCCAGAGACGGCAGAGCCACAACGCCACCGGTGAGTCGACGCTGCATTTCCCTCTCATGTATTTGAGTGTGAAAGTTCATTCTTGACTTTGGACTCAAGGACCACTTACGAGGTTTTTGTGATGCCAAAGATCAGAAAGAGTTTTCAATCTCCCCCCACATACGACCACCTGTTATTAGGGCTGGGCGATGACTTTCTTTCTTTTTCAAAGTTTTAAAAGTTTAAACAATTTTTTAAAAGTTCACGTGGTGACACGAAGGCTTAGGACGAAGAAGACCATGGGATGGGGTCGAAAGCTCCTAAACATCTTGAGTTAAGACTGTTTTGTAAAACTGGATGTGCATGTTTTGGGTTGGTGAATGGATGGATGATTTAATGCCCCACTTCTATCAATCAAACTTTATTGGTACAGCACTTTTCATACAGGTCAGTGCAGATCAAAGAGCTTCACAGACTGAAAGAAAAAAGGACAAATCACGTGAGAAAGCTGAGAATCAGATTCAATCAAATAGATTTAAAAAGCCGTAATAATTAGCAAAAAAAACAACAGAAAATACAAATTTACAGTTGTGTCATCGTTAGGAGAGTGAAGGTCGTAGATGTTCAGGCGACACTCTGACCTCTGCTCCTCTCTCCATCCAGCAGACTACCTGGTGCCCCTGCTGGTTTCCGTGGTGATTGTCGTGTGGGTGTTGGCGGTCGCCTCGATGTTGCTATGGTGCGTGAAGAGGCGGAGGAAGCAGAGCGCCCACACGGGGGTCAGCACCCAGGCCGCCTCGTCATCTCTGGCGCCCGCGGCCGAGGACAACAACGCCCTCCACAACAGCGTCAGCACCACCCGTGAGCAGCTCAACCACATCAAGAACCCCATCGAGAAAAACCCGCCCAACCTCCATCAACAGCACCACCTCCTCCTCCATCACCACCTCTACGAGGACAAGAACTCCGTCAACGCCAAGATCAGGAAGTCAGACGCCGGGAGCCAATCGGATGAGGACGAGGTGGACAAGAGGCTGCAGAAGGCGAGGTTCTCCCGGGCACCACCCGCGTACTCGCTGGTGGAATGGGAGGAGCGCCCCCCCCACCATACGTCAGGCAAACCCCCACACTGGACTAGCAAACAGGACAACAGGCATCTGCAGTCACAGAGCGTAAACAGGATGGAGTTCATCGTATAGCCACCGGGCGCAGAGTGACGAGATCAGAAACTTGTCATTTTTTATCGTTTATTTTTTGTACAGAATTGAATTTCAGTGGATTCGACGGCTTTGGATTTTTGCTGTTTAATTTATGTTTTGACTGACACTGGTCTGAACGGTCCACTGTGATTGGCTGGATCTCCGATTTCTGTGGACGATTGAACTCGGACATGCAGTGGCGTTCCTGAAAAAGCCTTTCACGCTCGGTTTCAGTTTCATGAAATCAGTTTCATTCACAAATAATTTGAGTTATTTGAACGTGCTGCTGACCTGTCGCACCGCAGCACCTGACCAATTTGGAAGAAAATATTTTGTTTTGTTTATTTTTGTTTGTTTTTTTTGGGGGGGGGGGGTTAAGTGTCAGCAGTTGCTGTCAATATGAAGAATCGTCCATGTAGAATGTTTCTGTATAGATGTAAATAATTTTTAATTAATCATTGTGTATATTTGATTTATTAACTTAATCGTCAAGAGCCTTAAGATATTCTTTTTTATTTATGAGTTTAGAGTCGAAGGGTCGACAGCTTTGTAAGCTTCACACTTCCTGATGGAAATTGTTTTTTGATATATTTTTCATCATCGCCAAAAGTGTTCTTGAAAGAATAGTTTATTTTTAGCCTTTTGGATTTGGGCATTTTCGTGCCTCAATTAAATGTTTTGTACATCGTCTGTTGTTTGATACTGTTTTGTTGGTTCGTTTGCCAGAGGTTTTCTGTTGTAAGTACTTTACATGTAAATGGGGGGGGGGTTGCTGTGTGGTTAGAGACAGATTTTGCTGCTGCAGGGTCTTTTTTTATACAAACCAACATGGTGGCAGACGTATTGCTTTTGCTACTGAAAAGAAAATCTCCAAGACGCAACTTTTTTTTTGTAATGATTTGTATTTTTTTGTACAGTGTAAAACAAATAGAGCTGACAACAGGCTTTGTATCCTGTTCCCATGTGTTTGTAATAATCTGAGTGATCAAACCTGCATAATTAAGGAAGTACTTGAAAAGAGAGTTCAATAAGAATACTGTAGAGCCATTATGTGACATTTTGCCTGTCTTTGATTGGAGGATGAAATAAGGCTGTGAAACCATGTTTAGTTTCAGTCGTCAGCCCCTTTAGTTTATGATGGAGGAATTAAAAAAAACGTCTTTCTCATACGTTTCACTTTAGTGCTTTTTGGACCTTGAGAAATAAAAGTCTGTGTTCGTTACTGGCAACAGTGGATTGTTATTTTTTCGAGAGTCACAATCATGTCCCTCAGAGACGTTCGTAAGTAGTGTGAGACTTTTTACGGATACATGAAAAGGCAAAAAACCTACAGTCACAAAATGTATCACAGTGATTAATTTCAGTGTTTGTGTGCACACATAACAGTACATACTGTACAGTTGCTGCAGGCTAGTTTTGCTAATCTGATTATCATTATTCTATAATAGTGTAGTAGTTATAAACACTGTCTGCCACGCAGCTTCAACAGGCTGAGCTACAACAGCTTTCTGAGCTACAGCAGCTCTCAGAATAATTAGATCTGGAGTTTAGATACGACTTTAACTTGATCATTGGAATTATGATAATAAACATCAAGTATGAATTTACATCATCGGCATCCAATCTAGTCTGTGAGAGTTGTGCTTTAAAAAAACGGTTTCATGGAAAAGGATTAACCTGTGAGTTTGCCAAGTTGTCTTGGTTCAGTTTTCCCACGTCCAATAAAAAGTGGTGCACAGCTGCTTCCCTAAACTTTGCAACAGGAAGCATCTGGAAGGCCAACAGCTGCCGTCAGCTGACAGCAAAGCAGTCAGAAAAACTTATTAGAAAAAAATTATCTAGCAGTATTAACTATGACAGAAGACTTGAATCAAACCTGACTGAAGAGAGAGAAATCGTTGATGTTTCCAAACCAACACAAACTCAAAAACACTGAGTATTAGTAGATACTGCTTCTTGTACGACAGTGCAGTAGAACTAGTTTTTGCTTCCACTCACTTTGAAAAGGAGGCCTGTTTGGGATCCAGTTCCAGGTTAATAAAATACCTGAATAACTGAGTTTATGGACTAATGACTCCTCACTCATCTGTATTAGCAAAGACCAAAGTAGAAAACAGTCTAGTATCAGGCTTCTGTCACTCTGGCTGCTTCATGCGACATCTGCAGCACATTATATCAACTGGCAATCGTTAACGTTAATCCCACGAGTAACTTTCCCAAAGACCAAAATAAAACATGACTGTTGTCTGCAAGTCACAGGTTACAGTCTGCCAAAGATTGTTTCTCAGAGAAAGAAGCATCACTCTGTATGATCAGGAGTGGGACTATAAATTGTTCATGGTCTGCACTTATACAGTGCTTTTCTAGTCTTAGAGACCACTCAGAGCAATTTACAACACAAGCCACATCACACCCATATCCCACCGACCTTCTGATTAGTGGACGACCACCTGAGCCACAGCCGACTGTGTTCTTGTAGTTCAGCAGAGTGACGAGTCTTCTACAATGAGACAATCATGACAGCAGCATTTTAATTACAGGAGCCAGAGTCATAACATTCATAACAACTTCATAGTTCTCTCCCAAGAATTTTAATCTTGTAGCTTGTGAAAAAAGACTAATAATAAAAGCTACTGCAAAAAAAACAAACAACAAAAATACACGTCTAAAAAGAAAAAAGAAAAGGGAGAAAATTAACGTGAATAGGTTTGATTTCTGTTTTAAAAGGAATCAGATTCAGTAAGCATATTTAACAGTGCATTCAGATATGTTCAGTGTTATGCAACGACCACCCTAAACGTTTCTAATTGAATTCTGTCTTGTGTAAAATACAAAAACACTATTTCACTGTAGAACTGTAACAGCAGACGGTCATGTCTGGACACTGTCAGCTGGTGAAGGAGGCACTGATGTCCTTCCAGACATTTGGACCCCCTACAGAAAAGAAAAGAGCCTTATGCAGGATTTGGTTCATGGATGCGTTTGGGTCGATGCGGGGCAAGGGCTTCGGTTTGTTGCTCTTTTGACCCAGACATCTCGCCTAACTCAGAGGCAGCAAACAGAGATGACTTTGTCTTTGTTTTTTCCCAGCCATCCTCTGCCCTTCATCTCTATCACACACTGTCCTCTGCGGACATGTGAGAGCGTTTAGAGAGACCCAGCCGTCCTCCGCGGACAAACAACACGGGACACTTTGAATAAATGCTTTTCCAGCAGGAATCCCTGCCCCGATGCCCAAACTTTCATCATAACAAACAAAAAGAGGGGAACCACAGCCCCCACTCCTCCAAACAGGCCGCTCCACTGTGGTCGATTCAGAGGGGAAAGCTGCGTTTATGTGCATTCTTCTGCACTTGGTGATTTTTGAGGAGAATCCAAATCAGAGGCCGATAAGCAAACAGCTCTGTGCAGGGTTTCATGGGACAGATCAGTTGAATCTGAGTTACTTCATGATGCCAACCTCCCCCCCCCCCCCCCCCCCCTCCCTCTTTGTAAATCCCCTCATCCTCTTCCTCTCTGCCATTATGGTCTCGTCTTGGTCCAGGCCACAACTTCCCCTCTCAGACTCTGACTGTCTCCGTCTCTCTGCATCTCTCTGACAAAACATTTCATTCAGAACAAAATGCTTTGGTGACATATTTAAATGTCTGAATATACTATTATTTTTGCATGTTTTAGCTAATTTAGTCCAAATTATGTCTGCGAATCTGAGTTACTTCATGATCCCACCCCCCCCCCCCCCCTCCCTCTTTGTAAATCCCCTCATCCTCTTCCTCTCTGCCATTATGGTCTCGTCTTGGTCCAGGCCACAACTTCCCCTCTCAGACTCTGACTGTCTCCGTCTCTCTGCATCTCTCTGACAAAACATTTCATTCAGAACAAAATGCTTTGGTGACATATTTAAATGTCTGAATATACTATTATTTTTGCATGTTTTAGCTAATTTAGTCCAAATTATGTCTGCTCCACAATACTGTCAACATTTTTCTACAACATGCTGCAGTTCTTAGAAGCTGAATGTGTTTTTCGTCCATGAAAGCAGCTGCTGGTTTCTCTCCATTTAACTGGCAAATTCAAAACATATTTCAGACAGATCATCAGTCACAGTTAGCATACAGTTAGCATACAGTCAGCTGAATGAGGGTTGAATTGAAATGGATCACCACATAGCGATAATGTCTTTTTAACTAAAACAGGACCAAGTCAAACTCCCTGTTGGCCTCTCTGAGAGGCTGCACTCAGCTGGAGTTCAATACTGTTTCATTAAATCCACCATTTATGAGTGAATGAAGTTAAAAATAACTAAAACACAGTGAGTCTGAGGAGGCAGAAACAGTTTTGAGTGGCGTCTAATGACTGTTGTCTCTGAAACATTGAAATAACAGCTGTAGCTTACTAACCTTTACACCGTATTTACCACAAGCTGCTGTTTGTATAAAAAGACTCCGGACCTTGACAAAAGTAATTAATGTATATTGTAATGTCTTATTTTTAAAGTATTTCCATGCCTCTGTAAAGTACTTTGTTAAAAATAACTTGGGTCTGAAAGGTGCTACGTAAATAAACTTGCCATGCCTTATTATTAATATAATATCTTATTATCAATATCTTCCATTTTTTTCTCAGCCTTGAGTTTAAAGATAGTGAATCTAACAATTATTGGTATCCTTCTTTAGCAAACACACCATTTTTAGGAGCCATTTACAAGTTTTTCTATTGCTACATAGCTAACATTAGCATTAGCAGCTGTTTACTTCCCAGTATAGAAGAAACATTAGTTCAGCATCAAACTTACTCACCAACAGCTGTCTCCAGAAGTGGAAAACAACCCTCTCATTTTGCTTCGATTTCTATCACTTCTTTTCTTCTACTGAAGTTAGCATGCTAACTAGCTAGCTTACTAACTATTCACTTTCTGATACCAATCACTGTAGCGTCCTGTCTGAAGACGTAGCTGCTCAGAGGACATATTACAACCTCTTGTCTTGTAAACACAGCAATGGCTGAAGCTCTTGTCAAGACTGCTAAGTAAACACCTGCTAATGCTAACGCTGGCTATGTAGCAACAGCAAAAAACTGGTGTTAGCTACCAGAAAGTGAACAGAGATAAAAGATTAATTAGCCTTTAGCTTAATAGTGATTAAATGTATCTGAAACATTGAGGTAACAGCTGCAGCTCAATGACTTTTGGGTATTTTAGCGAACTCAAATGTTATGATAGGAAATTTTGTGTTATGTTTTTCTCTGTGGTTTTACTTTATGGTTGTTTGTTTGTTATTTTATGGTCAGTGATGGTTGATTAGTGCTGTAACTTCTGGTTTTTATGGATGAATAAACTGAACCAATTGAACTGGGTCCAGAATGAAGCTGGCTATCAGAACCAAACCCTGTTCATTACACCACAAATTATGGATGTGTTTGACAGACAAACAACATACACACAGTTTCACTGTTCTTAGAGCCTTACCAGAGGTCAGGGGTCAGCAGACAGCAGATCTCATGGTATTGGTCAAGACATCGTGTCTGGACCGAGCGACACCAGCATCCTCAGTCTATCAGAGTGAGAAACCAAAGGATGAGCTGAAAGGCTCTGCAAGTGGATTCTTAATGTGGACTAAAGTGGAAGTGGAAAAAGACAAAATAAAATCATCAATAATGTAAAATACATGTGATTTGTGGTTAATGAGCTGAAACGTTCAACAACACTGGTCTAATATTCACATCTGGCACAAAACAC